GGAAGTCATCTCTTCTATGCGAGCGGTCTGATACCCTCAGATGTCTTGATTTAAACTGGCTTCCTGCAGAAACGAAAGCGTCACGACTTTGAAACTTTAATTGCAAAAAGGTGAAATCATTGATCATCACAAGTGGAAATACTGTTATGCCTATGTGCCGCTTAATGCCTTTAGCCACATCATTTATTATTTAAATTTGGGAGCATATTAAATCAGTTAAAAAGTTAAAGTCTTTTTTTGTTTGCTTTCGTGACAGAGTGGCGTGTTGAGAATTTCCTTATGACTTAGATAATCGTGGCATACAGCTGATAAAAACCCCAAATTCTTTTTTTTTTTTTTTTTTAAATCAAGATCAATGAAGAAAACACATTTTGCTAAATAAATGTTGGCCTACTAAAAAGCAAAATGTATGAATTCAGTGCATATGCTCAATTGATGCTATTATAACGAAAGGTCATCTCAAAGCAAAATACAAAGAGATTCAGTTAACCTATTGATGCAAAACCCTGAATGACAACGAGTTTCTGGTAATGACCAGATTCTTTAAACAATACATCAAACGGTAGCCCCTAGCTCCTCCCCTTCACTTGTTATGGGATCATCAGTGAGATCTCTATGGTGGCTATGAAAGGAACTTCAGACTTCTGTACCATTTCCTCGCCAGCCTTTTAGGCATTGTTGGACAACAGAAACACACATGGATTATGTTGTCAAATTGAAGCAAGCACTCCATATATTATATACATTATATATATGCATGTTTCAAACACAGGATATGATGCAATATATCAAAAGTAATTTAATGTACTGTGGGATTGCTTATACTTTTAGTCCTTAGCTTCAGTTAGGAACCTAGCAAGCTCCTTTGAGGAGCTATGACAGGAAGCATACATGCTCCTTTTCCTACCTCCTTCCTTACTGACAGCACTGTTTGAGCAGCACCTATGGTGACCGCTGAAATTTTTGGCTGTAGTCCTTACCAATTTTATTTTTATTCTAATTGAACCTTTCTTGAATGTGTTTAAGCAGAGAAGCATCTAAAAGGTTCAGATAGCTGAACCTCGAAGCCTAAAATGAAGAACCCTAATATAGAGGTTCAAAGTGGATCTGATCCCAGTTTTAAAACACTGCCGTCTGGTTTAGCTTATTATTTGAACTGTTATCTGAGATGTTAAAGAAGCTCAGGTTGCTTAAATGAGGACCTGTAGTTCTTCTGGATTGCTCAGTCTAATGTTTCCTCCTTCTCCTGACTTTACTCCATAGCCTCTCTGTCTCAGGGATCTGCAGCCTGCAGCTCCAGAGCCACATCTCTCTCACATATGAGATATAGTTTTTAATATTAACAACAACAGCACATATTCAGTACAAGGCTTTTAAAAGTTATTGAATAGCTTTAACTATATGCTTTATGTATTTAGGTGAGCTTTCGATTGTTCTATTTTCTATCTTCTATATTTTCTTTTATTTATGATGGATCTATCTGATTCTATTAGATTTTATTAGTAGTAGCAGTGGCAAAAGGGGATCTTTGAATGGAAAAGGTTGTAGACCCCAACTTTATGTGATCAAGGTCAGGCTAGTTTGTCTGATGGTTAAAACCTTCTCCAGTCTCTGAAAGCATAATTTCCAATTGGTATTGAATTTTAGTTTTCATTGGAGAAGAAGGCTTCAGAATTTTATGTAGGAGTTTAGTCTTTTTGTTTTTCTGCTCCATATGAACCTTCTGGCAGAACCTATAATCATAGTCAAAACAT